TGCTGTAGGTGACCCTGCTCTGGCAGGAGGGTTGGACTAGATGATCTCCAGAGGTCCCTTCCAACCCTAACAATTCTGTGAATTCTGTGAATGTGTGCTCGCAGCTGAGAAGGCCAACCATATCCTTGGCTGCATCAGAGGAAGCGTGGCCAGCAGGTCAAAGGAAGCGATTCTGCCCCTCTACTCAGCTCTCGTGAGACCCCACCTGGAGTACCGTGTCCAGCTCTGGAGTCCCCAACATAAGAAGGACATGGACCTGTTGGAGCAGGTCCAGAGGAGGGCCACAAAGATGATCAGAGGGCTGGAGCACCTCTCCTATGAGGACAGGCTGAGAGAGTTGGGGCTGCTCAGCCTGGAGAAGATGAGGCCCTGGGGAGACCTTAGAGCAGCAGAATTTAAAGGGACCCTAGGGGAAAGATGGAGAGAGGCTTTTTATGAGGGAGTGTAGTGATAGGACACGGGGTAATGGTTTTAAACTGAAAGAGCGTAGATGTAGAATAGAGATTAGGAAAAAAAAATTCACTCTGAGGGTGGTGAGGCACTGGAATAGGTTGCCCAGGGAAGCTGTGGATACCCCACCCCTGGAGGTGTTGGAACTCGATGATCTTTAAGGTCCCTTCCAACCTAAACCATTCTATGATTCTATGAGTCAATATATGGTTTGGTCTCTTGGTGGTGAATAGAAGGCAAAACAGTGCCACCAACCCCTGCTTCGTTGAATCTGATCCATCTAAATATAGAATAAATAAATAATCCCCCGCTTTGTGTGTGTTTACTAGTATACTCCCAACCCAGACCATACATAGTTAGAGGGCTTCCTTGCAATCTCAGCACTGTGATCTTAAGCATTTATTTTATTGGAAGAAGAGAGTAATTCTTGCCAAACCTACAGCTGAGTTACTAGTGAAGATAGATAACATAAATCCTAAATTCAACCAGTTTTGTTTTTCTTGCTATAGCTAAAGGAACTCAATATTCTACAGTGAGATGACAGCAGCCTAAAACAAGAGTAAAGAGAGAAATTATTTATTTAGAACACATTAGGAACACTGTTCACAGTACACCATAACAGGGTGACTACATAATGGGGTGATCATAAAAGGGTGACTTAAAAAAGCAAAGAAAAGACGAAGTGTAGTTGTGGAAACTGGTGCGTGTTTTCCTCCCATAAGCAAAGCTGTACAAATAGAGACTGTCTCACACTATTTCTGCACAGGTAAAGACGGATTTACTCAGCCTTACTTATTTTGTATAAACATACTGATACTTAGATTAACACGTCCATATAGTTTACAATGTTTAATTTAAATACAGTATGATGTCTCATTGACTTGTCGATTTAAGGTGCAATTTATCAAAACCTACAGTAAGTATTTTCTTCATCAGTTCTCTTTGGCACGCTTCTGGTTTATTTAAATACAAAAGTGTAGGATCGAATCAAATATATAACACTGCAGGAACTTGAAGGGTTTTTTTGTTAGCATATGAGTGCAATTTTAGGTTTACCACAAGCTTATTTACAAAGAACTGTATATGAATTTCAGTTTACTTTACATACAAAATGGCTAACGACTTTAATGTGCAAGGCAAAAAAATTTGTTACAGCAACTCCTCCCTTGAGAGTGATTTTTGCACCATGGAAATCTCATATAAAATGTTTTAGAAAATGGAAATTTCTTATGAGGAAGTTCTTGGTGCCTCTTATCCTATAGCAAGTCATCTGAACACATGACTTTCTGGGTCCAGAAATGCTTCATAAGATACAGTTTAGCTGATATGTTGGCACTGTATTAATGTTGCAGCTACAAACTTGTGTGTTCAGCTGGAAAACTAAACCAAGGAGCAAAAAAAACAACCAGTCTGTGTAAAACGCTCAGTGACAGTGGCTTCTCTCTAGGAAAAGGTATGCCTCCTACATTCTTGATATTTTATCTGTTTTTATTCCAAGGAGGAAAGGTTTATAATTTACACTATGAGTTGCTATATAGTCTATTTTCACCTTCATGACCTCCGCCTACTTTTGGGCTGATTAATATTTGGTTCAAAAGTTAACAGCAGTAACCGAACTTACTTCTGCTTCTCATGGAAATGTACTAGGAGGCCATCAAAGTGGACCTAACTTGATGAAGTACCACTACAAAAACTCTTCAAATGCCAGAAGAGCAAACACACAGCAATTTATTTCACATCTGAAGGCCAATCCCAGCAGCTGGCATTCACATGAAAAGCATGGGGAAATCTAGCTACATGAACCCTGGAAATTCTTCCAAGCCCAATTATTTCATAATTAAAGAAAAATGAAACCCTGTTCACAGTAAAATACTTATTACAAGGCCCTTCTGGTCTGCTCCTTCCTGAAGCACCCAAGTAGTATCCCCTCAGCTGCAGAAATGAGTATTTTGGCACGTGATCAAGTTACAGTAGGTGTCAAGTACAGTGCAATCTGTTTAGAAGGCAAGGATGTTAAAAGGGATTTCATACAGGTGCTTTGTAATGTGGGTAAGATGTGGAATGCTGTGCTACTCCTGAGTAAAACACGTTTGGCTGTCCCAGCTAAGATCCCCATTTATGAGCATGCTAATTCCAAAGAGGCATTTCATAGCCTCAGCAATAGTGTATACACTTGGGAAAAAAAAAAAAAAAAGTATTTTACAACTGTCTTTTTCTTTAACCTATCAGCAAGGACTAAAAGTGGTGAGTTCAAGTTGTTGGGAGAGGTGATGAGAAGGGGGCAGAATTGGTAAGGAGAATCAGAGTCTGTGTAGTAAATCAAATGCATGTGAGATGTAATTAATTCTCAATTATCCTTTAAGCTTTTTGAGATATTGTATATGGCCATGTCCTTTAGTGCTCCCGTTTTACCTGAAAGCTACTGACTTTAGAATTGAGATGTCTGCGTGAAGGATATGGTGTCAGACTTATCTACAGCAAAGCCTCCATTGACGTACGATTTCTTGGTCTCTGTTTCATCATTATCAAGTATGGTTGTTTCCAAGGCAAAAGGATTGACTATGTTGACTTCAGAGGTGACATCCATCTGCTCCAGCTCCTTTTTAGAGAGCTTCTCCACTATCCCTGTACCAAAGGCATCTCCCAAGACATTCACCATTGTTCTGAATCGATCCCTGTGGAATAAAAATTTTGTCAGATAAACCATTCTGGATGTTACTTAGAATATCCTTTTACTAAAAGTAAGCAGCTCTGCATTTGCTAGAGTAGCTTTTTTTCCCCAGTGTAGATTGCGGGTAATTCTGCAATTAAAAGAAAAATATCTTGTAGAACAAGAAAAAGAATTTTCCCCACATGTATTTAAAGAAACCTGGAGTCACCTTTATGACAAATTCCTTTGTACAGACTGTGTAAAACTGCAAGTCACATCACTAGTCTGTTAGAGCGGTAATCATACTGCTGTGCACAGCTTTACAAAATGTTGTAGGGATCACTTCTCAGGCCCTGAAGTATGCTACACAGCTGGTTCTCTTTGTGATGAGACTGCTTTTGTTGGGAGAAGAGACTGTGGGGTGCAGCAGAACAGTCTGCATTGTGCCTTTTGTCTTTTTAACAGTCATTTCCTCAGCCAGAGGAGCGCCCAGCCCAGTCTCTTCAGTGTATTGGCCCAAACCCTGGAAATGGGAAAGGCTATCTTCTGTTAGCTTCTCCTCTGTAAAGGGCTGAAGTACAAAGTTGTGCTAAACAAGTCAAAGAAATATGATACTTTTATACTGTTGATTTTTCTCCCAACAGAAATGTGATTTGCAGGCCTTAAAAATTTGCCACTACTTGGCAGAGGAGCAACAAAACCATGCAATATAGCAAAGTTTGAAAATTGGCATGGAAGTAAGGTAGGGACAGTGGAAGGTCACGCTTCCCTGTTTTTCTTTTCAGCTACACAGCACTGTAAGGGCTTTGTGGCAGAACAAGCTGCTCTGTCTGTGCAGAGATCTTGAGGTGGATACATTCACAAATAGAGGGACTGCAAAAACAATAGTGAAGTGAATTGACGTGTCTCATACACATATTCTTCTACTACAACTGCAAATCCAGTGCTAAAAAGTGTCCATGCGTTCTCCATGTGGAAAGGAAATATATGGTAAGGACAGGAAGAGAGAGGGGTAAAGAAAAACTCTGGTAGGATCAGAGTGACAAGCGAGGCAATCAACAGCACTGGAAACTGATCTTTCACAATACTTCTAAAAATTTTTTTATTCTTCATTAAAAACATGGACGTACTCCTCAAGCCTATGTAATAAAATCCTCGTAAGTTCAGAATTAACTAGAGGATTGTTAATGAGCCACTAGCAGGTTGCAAAATAATACATTTTAGGCAGTAAGTACAAAAGGTTAATTATCTACGTGGCATCATGATGTGCATTCCATCTGCTGAGGTGCAAAATACACTGGCAATGATCCCTGGTACATGAAATTAATCTTTAATTTGCTTTACAGAGCAAGACACCTTAATCTGAAAAATGTCTCAATTAGAATCAGAAGCAGCTTGAATTCTCTCTCTGTTTCATGGTGGAACAGGTAGTTTCCATGTGTTCATATTGTGCCTAAGAATCACATAAATTGTGGACTTTCAAAGTGGAGACAAGATCAGATCCATAAAACTATGATTACTAGGAGAAATAAGGAATTACTGTTCTCTTTCTCTCTCACTCCCACAAAAGAATTAAAGGGCATGGAATAAAAAGACTAAGAAGTAGATTAAAACAAACAAAATTAACTATGTCTCTGTGCAACACATTGTTAGGTTGTGGAATTCCTCTCCACAGGACTTGTGGAAATCTAAAAGTTTGTATGGGTCCCAAAAGCAATAAGGCATCCATAGAAGAAGAAGAAATCTTTTGAGAACTGTTAAAACAAAAACCTCCTCTACCTCAGGAACTCTTTAAGCTGCAATTTTCAGGAGGCTAGGAGTGTACTTTGGGAAAAGAACCAATATACGTTTGTTCTGTTCTTACACCCTTCTTTAGATACCTGCTCTGATCCAGTGGTTTGCACTTATGTTCACCACCCTTAACAAAACTAAATGTGCCCTGGGAAAAGAGGAGAGCTGGAGAAAATGAAATGATTGTGGAGCACAGCAAACAAACCTATTAGACCCTGTTGCAGACAGTTGATGGGGAGAATGTACTTGTGGCTGGAGATGTTTGGTCTGGAGCAATTACACTTGTACAGAAATTGCATTAATTCTTGGATCCATTCAACAGCCCTGGTTTTCTGGAGACTGAAATTTCTCTCTACAGCCTGCAAAACTAAGTTATATAGTCAAATAAATTATATATATCTGTGAAATACGTAGGTTGCTGCCAGAAATCCTTCAAGAAAATGATTGGAAAGGATGGGGGAGGAACAGGAGTGCATTTACCTTGCATCTAAATATGAGCCTAAGAAGAAGACAGACAGAGACTGTGAAATAATTAAGATCTCTGCATTGATACCAACAAAATACCATCCATGCTGAGTTACTGCAGGTGAATAAGACCTTGGCCTGTGCACTAAAGCTTGCATGATTTAGGAGCCAAAAAAAATGTATTACAAACTAAAGTTGTACTCCTTAACCTGTGAATCCTGTTATCTCTTTCCTAGTGAAAGATTTCTGGTAAAAACGTTTCTCTCCAGAAAGAGCTGCTCAGTGGGGCTGAGGGGTTTTGCCGTGCTCTGAGGTGAGATGGTTGGGATCAGGCATAAGGAATACTTCCTGAGTTTGCATGTGTGTGCTTGTTGATCAAGGGGTTGGGTCTTTGAGAAACTCTCAGCGAAGAACAGCCCCAGCAAAGTAATGCTGGCAGCACAGACCCACGTCCAGCCCACCACGTGTGTGCCCGCGGAGTCAAGGACCTGCTTTGCTTAGTTCATGTTGCACTCCACTCCCTCTTCACCAGTGTATGGATTTTATGTGCTCTGTGGAAATCAGCTGAGATGTTCTGCTTGTGGCTGCATTTGATTTTTATAAATGGTGCATGAATTTAGCATAATATGGTGGCAGCTGAGACACTCCACAGGCACCCCTTGGTAGCGTCAAATTTGTCTTTCCTAAGTATTATGCTAATGGATTTATGAATGCTGTGGCCACTCTTTTAAGGTTGATAGCACCTCTGGATAGGAGGCTATTCACTGCCATCCCATGCAGTAAAATTTCTCACAGAATTAAAGGCTCTACTGCATTCAACTCTATATTGAACAAGCCTGGCCACAAGAAGAATCTTTATCCAACTCCTGCAACGGTCCTAAATTATTTTGTTGCTTTCTTTCTCAGACACACATGTTCCCACACAACTTATGTAAACATTAAAAAAGAAGGAGAAAAAATTAAATACCAAGTGCCTTAAACTTACAGAAGCCAGTCAACTGCAATGATCAGAGTAACATCTTCGGCAGGCAGGCCAACAGCACTCAGCACAATCACCATGGTGACGAGTCCGGCTTGGGGGACGCCTGCAGCCCCGATGCTGGCTGCTGTAGCTGTTACACTAAATCCCAAATAAAGCCCAGAAAAGGCATTCAGAATACATGTTGCTCACAGAAACTCTACTTTCTGGCACACATAGGCTTATTTCACTGCAGGAAAAAAGCCCAAATGTTCCAGTTTTCCTCTTGAATAGTATCTACTCAAAGCCTGGTGACAAGTTTATGGGAGAAGTCATGTATAGATACTGGCTGCACTGCAGAATAACAGGCAACGCATGATAAACATGCAAACTGAACAGATCAGAGGTAAAGGCCAAGTTGGTTTTCCAATTGTTTGCAATATTTTTGGTTTTGCTACTGTTTGCAATTGTTTCCAGCAATTTCCAGAACAATGCTCTATACCAGCTGCATGTCCTGGCCCATCCCACCTCCTCATGAGGTTGCACAGGCCATGCCTTGGACCAAGAAGTGAGAATGTTTCTGTTACTTCCTGTGCTATGAATGATAAGTTTCAGCTTTCCCAGTGTGTCATCCAAAGTTAATGCACCATTCATTAAAAAAAAACACCTCCAAAAAAATGCATGTGATGCATTTAGTCTTACCTAATGGTAACTATTTGGCCAATATCCAGTTCTAAGTCATTCAGTTGTGCAATAAATACAGCTGCTACTGCTTCGTAAAGAGCTGTGCCGTCCATGTTGATGGTAGCTCCAACTGGAAGAACAAACCTGGTAATTCTTTTGTCGATTAAGTTCTTTTCTTCTGCACAGCGGAAGGTGACAGGCAAAGTTGCTGAACTGGCACACAGATAAACACACAAAGTAAGTGCAGGCAACAGCACACCATTTCCCTTACCTTTCCTTTTCCTCGGAGCCTCATCTGCTCTAAGACTCAGTTGGAGATCTAAGGCAGGCAGAAAGGCCTCCAATGGCTTTTATAGCAAAGTAACTTTTGTTATCTCTTCTAATTATGGGAAGAAATAACAAAGTCTAAGTTATCCTCAAAATTACATGGTAAAATCATCATGATGCATGTAGTCACAGAAACCGTGCAACAGCTTAAACTCTACCAAGTCTGTGACTAATGAGCTGAACGGCAAGGAACTGTCTCCTCCTGGGAGGGGCAGACTCTCTTTTGGTGTAAGGCCAGCGCAATCTATAGTGCCGCTCTGGGTGATGAATAGTAATATTTCAAAATGATGAAAGTAATATTTCAGCTTCCAGGGAATTTAAGAATTGTCCAGGTGAAATCAGGGTATGTAACAAAGTAGCAATCAAATCAGAGCATAAACAATGCAATTACTAGTAAGAACATTACAGAAAATAAATGTTTCTTTTGTTTACCTGGAAGAAATCATGAGGGCTGTCAGGAGTGCCTGAGCCATCCCCATGGCAAACCGAAAAGGATTTTTTCTTACTATTATTAAGTAGATCAGTGGCAGAATTATAGTGGAATGGATTGCAAGTCTGCAAAATAAAATGGACTAGTTAAACAAATGGATCCATCTCATTGCCTTGTTTAAATAAGATGGTGATAATAGGTATCTATTTCTGTCCTCAAGTACATTTATGAAAACACTAAAGGTGACTTAACTGACAGCTATGTTCAAAATATATAGAGTACGCCACCTTAACAAATGCAGGCTAACGTTCTTCTACACTTTCTTTTGGAAGGGACATAGAGATTATTAATTGTTTCTCTTTCCAAAGTAGAACAAGAATTAACTGATATATAGGAAATAATTTTAAACTCACGAAGATGAGAAAACTAAGGTAATAAATAATATTTAAACTGATATGCAGAGGATGACATGAAATATGGTAAAACACTCCACTCCCCTGCCAGATCCTTACAATGCAGACTAGAGACAAATCAGAAAATCAAACCAAATCATTTTTCTAAGTTTATCAGCCTTTATTATAGAACATCTTTTGGAATGAAAGGTAAATATGGTTCCAAGTCAGGGACAGATGAAGTCCACAGCTTTCTGCTGAAACTTTAAAAATGATCCTATAAAACAATCCACACTTACTTTGTGGAAAACCGTATAAGCTTAGGTTTAAAATGAAAATGTAGTGAGGTATTTCAGACTGTACAAATGAGATGTATGTAGTCTTGCCACTTTAATGTTGTAAGATGTTGAAATACTGTCTTTTGAAACTATTACTTTTTAAAACTAAGTGTGTTGGCATGCAAAAGATCAAATTGTCCTCTTGACTTTAGCTGCTCAGATGTATTTGCCTGAATATTTGGGTGGGTCTCAGGGATAAATTAATCCTTCAACTTGTGGATTAATTTTGAGCATTGTGCATTAACCCTGAATCCATATGAATGCAGAGCTTTGTGGGCATTAAGATTAGAGGTAAACAGCCTGCTGTGAGTATATTTGAAATAAAATATGCATGAAGGGTCTGGGAAATGTTTCCTATGTTCCAAGGTCACAAGCAATTATAGCAGCATCAGCTTCTTGTGAAAAGAAATTACCATAGCCTGGAAACATGAAGCCCAGATCTGTTGTCATGTATGGCCTTGGGATTTTTATTCTGTCCTCACAAGATGTTCTTGCAAACATTACTGTGTTGTAATAGCGCTTTATGATTTCAGAGCAGCTGATAAAGATAGCGATAAATCATGGTACTATTTGTTCTCCCAAAAATAGACAATTAAGAGAACAGTAGCCACAGTACAAAAATCCACAACAGCACCAAAAATCACCCACAAAACCTAACCATTTGTTTCCCTGGAAAAATTATCTTTTGAAAAGCAACAGCTGTTAAAGTTTTCACTCTGTATGTGAACAAGTGATTTATTTAGTGAAATGTAAGTAACAGCATACAACATGTATTGATAAAATTTTGTAAAGAACTCTAGAAAGAAACATAACAATTTATATAATGGTGCCTGAGAACAAACTGAATTCTGCAGAACATATAGAAAAAAAAAGGTAAAGAGGTATAGGTATCGTTGGGTGTCTTAACAAAATGTTGATGAGAATAAACATTTCAAGTATGTCCACGTCTAGAAGCATACTGACTTCCAAACAGTTGTTTTGAAAAATTTAGATCTGCACATTTTTAGTGGCAGCATGAACAGGGCATTAGCCAAAATAAAGTATTTGTGCATATCTGCTTTGCTGCTACTGATTTTCATGAAACAAATTCAAAGTAATACTTATTTTCATGCATAAAACGCATCTCACAGCAAGTAGCAAAAATTATACCAAAAATCATTATTACAAACTGAAAAAAGAAATTCTAATAGTGCTCAGTTCTAAGATAGGAAGATTCTTGTCCCTCAGAATTCCAAACTGGCATTCCTTACAGTGTCCAGAGATGCAGCTGCCTTGCTGCTTTCAGAAGAGACAAAGGTACAGGCAAGAGAGAGTCTGCTGGCTGCAGCTTCCTTTTTTTTTTCCCACCTCAGGCTGTGAGTCCTCTGGCACTTGTATTATGCCTCCTATTTTGATTTTCCTCCTCTGTGACTGCTAACATGTCCTTATCCTGACACTGACACCATTAAAAGTGACAGGCTGAAGACACTTAGTGGCTAATTGGACCAGAGGCACTGAGGGAAGTCTGTTCCCTCATGGTGACCTGAATGAGACATAAAGACTGAGATGTGCTGCAGACAATGGTGTATGAGAGCTGGTAGGACTGAGAATGTGAAAGGTCATAAATAATCAAGCTGAGAAGAAGGTGAGATAGAAGATGAGCTGGAGAGGAAAGTTAAAGGAAAGGAAGAGGAGGATAAGACACACCAGCTCTCATGCTCTTGCACACTTTTCTTGATAGGGAATACAATAAATACGTTTGTATACAGATAACCTGTAATTCTCAGGATCAAGCTTAAAGGGAGGATGATAGACAGCTACAGAAGATGCTGATGAACAGAACCCACTGCAAACAGACAAGGTCAAGCAAATAAGGATGAAATACAAAAAGATGGTGTTAACAGCAGTGTTTAAGAAACCAAAACAAAGAAACAGTACAACTTCTATTTGCTGAGAGGTGGGGGAAAAAGGGTATTCTTGCAGACTGTAGAACAAGCACTTCTTCCCGGCAGCCAATAGCCTTGTGTGTACATCGTCATCTTTGCTCCTGTGATCTGCTGACAACATGCCCTCTGTGATGGTCAGTTTTGCAGAGAATGTACTGCTGTTAGCCCTGCTCCACAACACCTTGAGCATCACCTGCTGCAGGCCATCTTATAAGAGACAGAAATTCTGCAGAGATCTACCCTAGCAGCCATCAGGGAAAACTGTGGCATGCACAAGGGTGTTTGGTAGAACAGAGACTTTTTGTCTCCAAGGATGTAAAGGTGGGCACCCTTATAGACAATCTTTCTGATGGCACCTGAGAACCTACTTAAAACGTTGTGCCTGTCAAGCCCATGGCTACCAGCTAAATGGGAGACTATATGCGGCAGTACTTCACTTTGCAATCAAAGTACTCTGGAGAAGGCCCTGTGTCTTCACACACATCTCAAGGAAGATACGCTCTGTCACAGTACACGTAGTAACCATTAATAGGTAAACAGTCCTAAAACTTGCTATCAGATCTAAAACTGAAGTCTAAGGGCAGTAATAACCCATCCAACATATTCCTCCTCTGAGCTAATTGGAGTTAATAACATACAAAACCTGCAAAAGTCATTCTATAAATGACTTTTACCTAACTTGTGGCCATAGTCTTATAATTTATATCGAAAATATTACTCTCTTGATTTACACTCCCTTGGTAAACATCAACTTTTGCATCCTTTGAAAACTTGATGTCTTTTCCCAGTCTAAATGGAAACTCACAAAAAATTGCATTATGCATTAGACAAACATAATTTACACTCACATCTGCAACATTTTGAAAAAGTCATGATTCAGTACCATTTCTGGAGCTGCAATTTTTACTTAGGAAGTCATTATATCTCAAATTATTTTTGAACACCTAGTCCAAACATAGTGACTTATGCATAAAACAAAACAAATTTGAAATAAATATGATTATCTAGCACAGATTATTGCACAAAAAGAAGATATCCTTCTTGACTATTTATCTCGACTATTTATAGAGAAGTTTGCATTTAAGGCTAATCTATTACCCTTCTCTCTGCTTGGTTGTCAGGAAGCATGTAAATGACATTTGAAAAATAGCATCCATATGCATAAAGTGGGGGGAAAGAAGCTCTTGAACAATTTTGGATCAAACCTCTAGACAAAACATGAATAAATCCTTAGTATACTGAAGGAATTATAGGAGTGGATGCTAAGGCAATGAACCAAGACAGCCTAGAAGTTATGCTTCACTGAATTGGAAATAGAAATTTAAATGCATTTAACTCGCTGGGACTGTAATATCCATTTATCTATCAAAAGGGTTCTTTGTAGGATAGTATTCAGAAATATATAATGATCTAGTATTATAAACTATATCACTTGGAGCAGTTAAGTTGGCCCTTCCCAGGCTCCACATTGTGCAGGTGTACCGTCCTCCATCCCAGACTGTTCTACACAGCCAAGGGTCTAGAACAAGAATTAAAAAAAAAAAAAATGTTTTGATGCTTGGCTAAGTTATTCAGATAGCAACTGCTGCTTTTGCAACTTCACCAGCTACCTTTGCCTTGAAGGAGTAACTAACAAACAGTGCAAACCCTAGGGCTTCTCTTGATGCCAGCTGCCTGCTCTGTACTGAGGTGGGAAGGGATCAGTTTCCTCTTTGGCATCATTTATTGTGCGCTGCACTTACTCTGCATTTGTGTGGGGCAGCAGAGCTGGGCCCATGCTGGTACACTTTGGGCCCACAAGTCCCATAGAGGTACCCAACTTAATCCAGATATTTGGGTATTTTCAATAGGCTGCCAACCCCTAATTAAGCCGTAATTCACAACCTCACCCTTTTCCAACTTCTTCTAGTATCTAATAGATGTATTACTACTCTCAAAAATACAATTATGTTATCCGTTTCAGCACCAAGCTGAGAAGATAAAACAACAAATACAAGAACAGCCTTTGCTTTTTTTTTTCTTTTAGAATGCAAGGCATTGACTTTTTAGAACAAAACATGCATTCAGCAAAACATGCACTCAAAACATCCTCGCATAATTTTCACTGACAAGAACTTTTGTCTCTGACAAGAGGCTGGGTGTTTAGGACAACTGAGTTGTAATCAACTGAGCTCTAAAAACTGCACACACTTAACTTCATCTTTAAGAAATGACATACCCACTTAGTACCGTAGCCATATAAAGACCCAATTTACGAAAGATTTCCCAGTCCTCAACTTCTATTATCTTCCCAGCAATTAAAAACACGATACCGACTGGCATATACCTAGAAAGCAAAAATAAAGCAATTAAAAATGCATTCTCATTGCGTGCTCACCATGGAATACTTTCTCACACAGTATAACTTTTTACAACAGATGGAAGATTTCTTTTTCATATTCTATTACACAACTGACTTTTTTTTAATTCTATTTTTTTCTATTTATTCTATTTTATTCTATTATACAACAAACTATTCACTTGCAGCAAGACTATATTAGAGGTGATGAAAAGATTAGAAAATGAGAGTAAATGTAACCCTATGCATAGTCTAACAAGTACTGCATGACCTAGTGTCACAGAATACACAGAAGCTGGGAAGGGATTTAGGCTTTGCCTTACTGCAGCAAATGTTTATGCATAGCCATAAGCTTTCTTGGAGATGGAAGTCTGCGTGGCTGAGACCAGTATCTGCGCATTCTGCAACCACACACAGATGGAAAAGGTCTCCTGTGCTTGCAGCAGCGGGGCTGTATGTGAGCCACTTGCACGCAATACCGAGTGATTTCAGTATGTTGGGATAGTACAGCCATCAGTGTGTTGCTTGGTGGAGGGGTCCCCATTCCTCAGCAAACTTACACAAGGCCATGCTTTACAGTCATGAATAGCTGCATGGGCTACCGCCTATAGAAAATTTAAGGCAAAAATCAGGACTTACGGTAGCACCAGCTCCACTGCATTCCTTTTGGTGCCAGAGAGCGGGCTGTCACAAAGACTAGTTGCTACTCCAGAGCTTTGAGTACTATAAATTAATTTATAAATTTACAAATATGCAAAATATATCAATTAAAAAATATAAATTCATAAAATATGTGTGCACGTGCTATCTCACAGATAAAATAGTGCCCTGTCCCCACACAAGGCAGGGACTCCTACTTCCTTCTGAGTCCTGAATCCAATGAAAGCAGAATTAATTCCTCACACTGCCAGCATCAAACTTTACCTTATTCAATACAACAGCTCACACATCTGTAGAAACACAGGGAACCTGTAGACACAACTTCAGGCATATGCAAGAAAATGGATAGTCAGCTTATGGGTACGATCCTGTATTTGTGACATGTGCTAACTCTCGGGTCTCGTTAGTAGTAATTCACAGAGTAAGGCAGGCTATTTCATGGGACTGTACTTGAGCTGGGGTCTCAATCAGCTGCCTAGCACAGGACAAGTTGCAGAAACTAATTTATCTTTCTTTAAAGGCAGTGAGAAGTGTGCAACTAAACTGTGGACAGGTTTACTGTTTTACAGGCATATCAGTGTGCTGGGTGGAAGAAAAATCCACGGAAGGGACAGATTTGATAAGTTACTGTTTATGTAAAATATGTGGATATGAGCAGAGTATTGTAGTAAATGGCACAAGGAGTCTGGAAAGGATTGTGTGTGCTTACAGTCCTGGTCCTGTAATTGTGATCTGCATGGGCAAAAGCTCTCTGAATAGCTGTGAAGTCCAACCAAACACTACCAGATGACTTGCTACATTTTTAAATTGCTTTTCTTGTCTGAGAATGAGAGAATATGGTGAGAATGTTGTCTCACAAAACTTATTAGCAGACGGTACATCACATTAAGTTGTATTTTGCACACCATTTGGGATTTTGGTCCGTGCTATGGCTTGTATATTAATATATATTTCTAAAGGAACTTGGCTCCAAGGATAGCTATCCTGTGCACATAATGTCTATCAGGGAATAGTGTTCAAGACTGAGCAGGGCATGTGTGTGGTTAATGCTTCTAACAGTCCTCAAATCACTAGTGCAGTTGTACTGGTTTGATATAAAGCTCTAACAAGAATGTCTGAAAAACTCAGGTTCCTTGTGTACCAATAGGACTGTTTCTTTAGTATATAAAGTGGAATCCCTGTCTCCAGTTTCCTCAAAAGGATCAAATTCTGTAGAAAGGAAACTTCTTACCAGCCTTTCTTTTAAAGTTGTTTGCCCTATACAAAAGCAAACATGAAGTCTGAGTTTGGTCCTACCTCTTCAATGACAAAATCCACTTAAAGTAGCTGTTAGAAAACTCCAGTATGTCCTTGGACTTACCACATGATTATCTGAACTATTCTCATTGTAGCTTCATTCAGTGCATTGAAAAAATCCACCAGCACTTGTCCTTTCTCTCCCATTTTCCCAATAACCATTCCAAACACAAGACAAAAGACGATCAACCCCAACACATTGATGCCGTTGGAATACATGCCCACGATTTTGTATTCTTGGGTTTTGTTCTATAGATTAGATTCAAGAGAAAAAAGTTACTATCTGAAAACGTAAAATTTACTTCAAAGAGTTCCAAAATGAAAACACATTTAGATCTTTCTTTGAAAAGACAGAGAGCTCTTCCCTAGGCACTCTATTCCCTTCCTGGCAGTGCCAAGTGGGTAAGTTCAGGAATGAAGGCAGAACTAAATTGTCTTTCAAAGCTTTGTATTTTAAAGCTATGCAAGGATCTGTCCAAACCCTACCAGGGTATAAAGCAGCCCTTAATATATGTTCCCTTTTCTATAGACTACTGACACAAACTATGTCAAGCTCTAGGTATCTGCAGTCATGCCTCCAATATACTCAAGACTTACTTCCTACTGTGAAGAACAAAACACAGATGATGTAGAATCCTTGTGGTTATTTCTGAGCAACTCAAGGGTTTGTGTCTGGATTTAAGATAAATAGTGTACTGTGAAAGAACAGGGGCAATGGTGTCCAATTTTGCCTCAAGTTTAAAACCTGTTGTTCAGCTGAAATCAGGGAAATTGCATAATTTACAGCAGAATTGGATGCACATAACATAAAAATCCAACTAAATGGGTAGGTATTCACACATTCCTCTGTGTTTGTGCAGTATGAACATACAAAGGAAAGAGTGCAGGATGAAATTCATGTCTTTTCTTATAGCTCATATTTCCATGCTCTCATTACTATGAGATGAAATTTGGAAGGAATATAATAAAATATGTATTGATTTGGTACTGTTAATAGTTCTGTGTTCATATTCTATTGAATTCTTTTCTCCCTCTCCTCCAGTGTAATTCTAGGCTTTATAAACCACCAACATCCATAAGCTTTCCACACCTTTAACCAGCAGCATGTTAAGCCTCTTCTTCGCTTTTGTCTCTTCACTTTTTTTTTGCAGAGTAACAAGTTATTAATTAATAAATGCCTTCCATTGTTTTGTTTTCCATTAAGAAGTTTTTATTATGATTTTCCATTCCTTTCTTTCTGCAGTGCTTACAGTTATCTCATTGCTGCTCAAACATCTTGTGCTGATATACATCTAGCCTTTCCTAAGTGACTGTTTTCTTTAATTTCTCAGCAAATTGATGGCTCATTAGCATATACATTTAATCAAATATATGAATGGATTATTTTCTCACATCATCTATTATCTTTGGACTGCTTAATTACTAATGGAGTCCTCTGGTGTTCTTAAATCTACTTGAAGATCCTCATAATCACCTCTAGCATTTAGCTACTAAGCTTTGTGCCCTTGCTAAAATCTATGTATGTACCACTTCCTTCCTTTTCTCAACCACTAACCACAACAGCTGAACCAAATTTATTCTGTGTTCTTTCTCCCCACTTCATATCTTACAAAGGAATACAACAATAAAGGTCTCACCTCTGAAGCCTCTGCTGTTGTAGCAGTTGTAACAGTTTCTTCTGTAAATGCAGAGCTATTTTTATCCAAGCCAGTTGTAGCTTCAACTTTTTCACGTTTGGTTTTATACTGGAAAAGTTTTTTTAAAAAAAAAAAAAATCAGAAGAGCTTATTTAGAAACACAAGGAAACTGAAGAATGGACAAAGGCATAGCCTTTGCCCAGTAAAAATAAGGGAAAAATGAACCAATCTGTTTTGAAGGTAGCAAACATAGACAAACACCTTATTTCCAAATTCAAGTGAGCCATCACAGTTCTGTACTTCAGATGCTGTAGATCAACAAGTGCTCACAGATAATAAGCTATGAATTCTGCTCCCAGGTACCCTGTGGACCTGGTGCAGTCTTGTGGGCCATGAGATACAGCTCCTGACAATGGCAAGGGGACTTTTTGCTGGGACAAACAGTCTGGAGACAATTGCTGACAGCCACCCCAGGAGAGGTCTGTAGCACAGATCCACCTGATACAATCAGACCCTGGTAATGTGGTTAACATAGCTAATGCCATTATATAAGGCAAACAGTCATTCTTTGCAGCTGAGCTGGTCACTTATTAGTCCCTTTTCCCCTCATTATCAGGCCCTGAAGGTCCCGTGCACCAAGCAGACAAACCAAACAGATTTATTTCTTCCCCTCCCTACCAGCCTCAAGTTTCCTGGGTGGCCAGGCTGACTACTCCCGTCCTTACCAGCCTGGAAGGTCCCAGGCAACCTGGTGGTGTCGATGACCCCGCCAAAGAACGGGGACACATAACAGCACCCAAACAACTGTTCATAAAACCAAGCAGTTGCAAGTCCTAAGGGGGAACTTGGACCAGAGCGGCTGCTGGACAGTGAGACCATGACCCGTGGTGGCAAGGGACACCTCCACTGTTGTCTGCTTCCTCCAGGGACTGAGTGACTTGTATTCTTTTATATGTTTTTGAGTCTAGATACAGCAAACCAAGTATTAAGATTTGACCCAATCTGCAGAGGGTCCAGGTTATTAGAAACCATAAGCTAAGCAGTGCTCTTATAAAATTGTAGTACACTGATTCTGCTTATAGAAATCCTGTGCTATTCTTATTATAAATTCTGTACTATACTAGTCATACCATCCTGTTAAGAAAATAAAGCTTTAATTGTAACTACAATTTAGCACTGTCATCATTCTGCCAAGGATCCCTAAAAGAACCTGTCTGTCCCCTTAGTGTCAGATGACTGTGATTAATGTAAGAGAAAAACTACATGAATAAGTTTTATAAACTGGAAATACATTCAGTGCTGTGCACAGCAAGACACTTAACATCATTTCCTGGGAAAGGTTAACTACCTCACATACAAACCTCAGATCAACTGGTAGGCAGCTGCTAGGGAAGATAAAAAAGGGAAGCTGAGCACATCACTAAAAATAGTTCATGTATTTACAGATGAACATGACTGAATCTGAAGTAAATCTGATATATAGACAACAGTTTCCTATTTTGTCTTGCAAATACCACTTTTTCTGAAATATGTCTCAAATAGACTCAACCAATTGGCTGCCTTTTCCTTAAGATGGATCATCAGGTCTGGCAATGCACATTACATGTGAGAGACACATCAGGGTAAGGGGTAAGTTATGCAGATTTCGTCAGTCACTGAGTCACTCATTTTTAAGAATGAGGAAATAGATCTTCATTTTTACCTGACAAAGTTTTTGGGGACATAAAAGAAGAATAATTTGTAGTTAGGAATGAAAACTACAATAAGCAAAGAGGATTGGTCAAACATACCTGTTGAAAACAGGCCTGGACAAGGTTTTCAGGGAACATATTCCTGTTAAAAAAGTAGAGGCATTTCAACATTATAGCATACCTAGAACAAGTTTTTTACACGAACAAAATGATAAAATCTGCTGCTTGAAAAACAGATCAGGTTATGTTCTATTATCCAGAAAACAATGTATTTAGCACCATCAGTCCAAAGAAATTAAGGCTTAAGGACTCCCAACAATCAGTTGACTGTTTTCCTACTGTTGAACTTTCGGGCTTATTTTTCAGTGTTTGACATTTCTGTTGGTAAGCTACTAAACCCAGTGGGTTTTTTCCCTGCTGCATCATCTCCATCATTTGCACAAGGAATACAGGACACACCATTTTTATAGGATTTGTCAAATACAGGCATAAAAAAATTAATAACTCTTATAAACACTGTGCTGGAAGAATCAGCTGTTTGGTGTGCTCTATTGTAGTTTAGAATTCAGAAATTAATCTTGGCTGATAGAAGATTCCCATGTGTTATTCCAGGGTCAAGAACCGTTTTCACACACTGAAAAATAATTTTCCAGCATGTTGATGGGGAAAGACTCATTATTAGGTTGCTTTAGATACTGGTGATGGAGCAAACTTGTTGACTGTGCAACCCTAAGAAACCTTTGCGTACTGGGTCTGTTACTCTGCATCCTGCCTTGAGGAGGGGAAACATAACATTGCAATTTCAGGTGCTTGTCTACACTGGATGACATAGAAACTGCCAGTCAGTAACCTGCCAACCATTCAATCCTTTCTGGATATTTTCTTCATACCAGGTAAACTTTGCATATTGGTTTCCATGAAGGAGGGCATTTTTGTTGTTGTTGGTTTATTAACCGAAGTCTATGGTGTAAAGAGATGACTTTTTTTTAACAGACTGCTTTGAATATACTCCAAAGTGTCTAACCTGTTGGAATACAAGTTATTCTCTCTTTATTCATCCAAACAAGCATTTTTATTGTATTACAAATCACAACTAAATTTGCATTTGTTTGGTCTTCTGCAACAAGGGTATGGAAGCTAAAAAAGAAAACCTCACCTGATCAGATCCAGCATGGCATCAACAGTGCTGACTTCTGGGGTACTGCCCACTCTGTCAATCTCATTTGCTGTCTGAGGCACTCCAGGTTTAATGGTCACAACTAAGACAATCCCTGCAGAAGAACAACCAGAAGAAAAGCTCTGGGCGCAAGCATTGGTGCATCCTGCCTCAGGGTATCCCATGTAGCTAAATTCTTAATGAGCTAAACTCACCAAATGCTTTCCCCAGGTGCTCATGCAGGGCTGTTCAGAAAGGAGAAGTCTACAGGTAGTGTCTTTAAATGTGTGGGTTCCCCCAACACAGGACCTACTTGCGGCCTTGCCACTGGACTTGCGCACTCTAGCTTTGGTTTTGTTATGTACAGAACTAAATCACTACTGCTTACCAAGAGGGTAAATTACTGCAGCTGGGCTTCAGCTGAAGTGTTCTGCAACTTTTACATGGTGGTATTTTGAATTGTTATTTACCTTTTCCCTTATGCAGCTCTTCTTGTCACTAGCTTTCAGATATGAATCATGTGCGTTGTCCTGTGACCCCAAAGTACAACAGGTTGTTTTGGTAAAGTTACTTAGCAATAAAGTTACATAAGAGAATGGCTTCAGAAACAGACTGAAATAAAAAAAATATGGACGAGAAATACTAGCTCTGACCTTGTGAATACAGAAATAAATGAAAATTTTTCAATTTAGTTTAGTGACTTAATTTTAGGCATTTTTACTATTCTGTGAGATACCTTTCTAAATGTACATTTCTAAATTTTTTTTCTCCCCCAAATCCAAACAAACCTAGACCAAATGAAACTACTAAATCTCCATGTAGCAAGAAAGAGGCATTTGGATGACCCTTCAACCAGCCAGGAACAAGGCGTTCTAATGACAGCTGTAAATAAAAGCAGAACTGAGTTTGTGTAACTCTACACAATGAAACAAGTAATATCATAGTATCATAGAATAACTTGCAATAGAGGGACCTCTGGAGATTGTTTGGTTTAACCTCTCTCTCAGGGTAGGGACAATTTCAAAGTTAGATATGTATTAATGTTAGCCTTTATTAATTTTCCTTACTATGTATTCAAAGAAAATTCCCAGAGAGATGAGATAGCCTAAATGGTGTAACCGCAGTAATAGAAAGTAATCTGGACTTCTAGAAAGTAATCTGGATTTCTATGTCTATGTGTCCTCACCTGTGAAGACAGACTGAGAGAACTGGGGTTGTTCGGCCTGGAGAAGGCTCCGGGGAGACCTTATAGCAGTCTTCCAGTACCTAAAGGGGGCCTACAGGAAAGATGGGGTGGGACTCCTTATCTCAGAGTGTAGTGAAAGGACATGGGGTAACTGTTTTAAACTGAAAGAGGGTGGATTTATATTAGACATTAGGAAGAAATTCTTTATTCTGAGGGTGGTGAGGCACTGGAACAGGTTGCTCAGGGAAGCTGTGGATGCCCCATCCCTGGAGGTGTTCAAGGCCAGGTTGGATGGGGCTTTGAGCAACCTGGTCTAGTGGGAGGTGTCCCTGCCCACGGCAGGGGGTTGGAACTAGATGATCTTTAAGGTCCCTTCCAACCCAAACCACTCTGTGATTCCATAGTTTTATGATTCTGTAATTCTATGTGATTCTTTTTCTATTGTTAAATACTGCTTTGCTTTATAAGTAGGCCACATAGGATGTACATTTTGTCCTTCATATAAATACGTTTCTTTTTAGTATGTGATACCTAGGCACAGTATTCACTTATGCTCAACAAAACACAAAGGTAAGCCAACAACTACATGACTTCTGACAGAGGGGGGTTTAATTTTACTTCTTATTTAAGAAGGCAGGCTGAAGATGTTTGTTTAAGCAAATATGGAAAATTTCAATGCTGCTTGTAGGGAATGAACTTCCTGAAAGAGGAGATGTGGACTTCAGAGAAGCAGGAGTGAAGCCTGGCAGTGATAGAGAGGACAATGTCCTTTTAGGAAGGAAATGAGATGACAATGAAAGCACTATTTTCTGTCATTCTTTCAGATGAGACACATTATATCTTCTCGCACCTGAGAATCAGCAACAATCCATAATTTTGCTATTGAAGAAATTCACTTTGTAGTTAAGGCTAGCCTTTGATGTTCATTCAGCTTTCCCACTGCTGGTCACTGTTTACCTAAGCAGACAGCTCCTCATCTTCCCTGAGCTGAAATGTATGGTGAAATTGCCTGTGGTTTCATATTGGATATGAATACAGCCCAACTGTGATGAGCAGGACTAACTTCTCCCTCTATCTGGCTACATTATGTCAAAACGTTTGGTATGATTTCTGTCCTTCCCTGCATCCTGTCGTGGGAAATCAGTAATGTCACAGTGCTGTATACTTGTAATTAGGCCATGCTGAGGATTTTAAAAGTTACAGTATCACAGAGTACCTAGTATTACAGCAATGACTGTAGTGCAGAAATAATATACGACTGCTCGCAAACCAATCTTCCCAGAAACACTGGAATCCAAAGCAGCAACACCTGCAAAAAGAACCACAAAAACAAAACAGTAAAAAACAGTCTTAGAAGAAGCTTGTAACTTTTGTAGAGACAATTATTTATTGTCTCTTATTTCTATGCTGGAATTTTTTCCTTTTTCAATATATTTCTAAATACCTAATTGCCAGTTGCACTTCTGAAAAATGTTTGTAGCAGAACAACATACTTGTTTCTGCTTCTTTGCAAAAATCTGGTTTCCCTGGATTTTTCTAGGAAAAAGATAATTGAGCTTTTCTTATTTCCTGATGTTGGTGATGAATTAGACTTCTTTGATTTATGAAAGTATGTCACAATTTATTTCCATATTCCTGTTATATCTGTACACATATTACATTAAATAATAGCTTTACTCTCTTCATATCTGTAACATTTTGGCTTTAAAACTAAAAGGCATGGGAAGCACGGGAAGGGAGCTGCTCAGGGCGGTTGCCTCACATTGTTCAAAGGCACAGATAGACAAGTAAGGCGCATTCCTGGCCAGCTCACCTTCATTAACAGGTTCACTTTTTTTTTTTTTTGGACTAAAGCTTTTCTGAAGTCTGGGCTGTTCCCACTCCTCTGCCTGTACCTGTCATTGCCAGGAACTGAGAGCAGTTTTGTTGACAGAGGTGGGGAAAGTGCTGAGGCAGGTGTTATACTGAGGTCAACTTAACTCCTGGCAACACTATTATATCAAACTGCTCATGAAGTATTTTTTAATTGTTTAAAAGATTGGTTATATCTGTACACATACAATTCAGTAACCAGGGTAAGATGAGCATGGTGACTGTAAAACTTGACTGTCTATAACCCCGATAGTTAATAATTCACTGCTATCTCTCTATTATACATTTGTGATCCATTTATATTTTTATGTTTATTGAGTCAGATTATCAAAGGCTGGCCAGATTCCCTTGTATAGGAAAGCAAAAATGCCACGAGGATATTTAATGTCAGAGACGCATGCTTTTGTAGGAAAAAAAAAGTTTCAAAAACTAAGGAAGAAAAATCAAAAGATCTTTCTGACACAAATGTAACTTATTGATCTTTGAGCTCAAAAGGGATCTTAGCAAGCATACTTTAACCATGTGTTGATGTCTCTTTCCGAAGGTATATTAACAGCAGTAACAATTTGTGCCTAGACCATTCACATAATGCCTTACTTGTTCTGTTAATTGTTATTCAAAATGCAAACAGTACTGGGAGGGGAGAATGAAGGTTATTTTATTTCATCATCTATTTGATTATTTTGGGGTCTTCCATGGGACAGCACATCATCAGACTCACTACAGAAGAACTACATATACATGCAGAAATCATGATGTAAATACTATCATCATCTCACTTGTACAGCAAGTAATGATAATAAAAGAACTACTCGTATGGCAAGGGAATACAGAGCAGTGCACAGAAAAAAGCAACACCACAGCTACTACGGGAGGCTGTCAGCACTAAGGATATTGTTTGAGGCACAAACAACAGAACGGACACCGAACCTAGGCCATCATTTTTATTTCTCACCTTGGCAACTGGGAAAAAAACAGGTAGAAAGGAGGACTTTTGCATTGTTGTGGGCTCAGCTGTGGAAATTATGGCAGTAAGAACTCTAGAGAATGGATAGTAATAAATAAGGGGTACTGTGGACAATAGAAGAGCTGGTTTCAAAGGCTGTCAATGTTAAAACTTTTGCACCTCATATATTAACTCAGAAGACTTTACACCATGTTTTTAAAAGAGAGCAAACTGTTATTGCCGAAATTCCATATCTTTTAACGAAAAGTTCATCACAAATAGAAATCATCAAATTTTATTCTAAAAACTGTTGTATCAACTGTCAATAGTGGTTAGACAGACAGTGGAGGTAAGATAATAATATTTTCATGGGATGGAATGCTTCACAAAGCTTGCCTTAAGATTTTTTTGCCTGACAGCCTTGCTGACTCAGCCAAGAGCTTAATAATCATGCAAGGATACTTCCCTGGAGTACTTGGTTATAAAGATTCCACAATTAGTATGACATGAAGTTCCTGTGGCAGCCATTCTGCTGGCTCCAAATGAAATCCCTTTGCAAACTGTTATGCTCACTGGAGTTACAGAGGTATAATTAAGGTCAAACTTTGCCCCTGCATTTTTAAAACTGGATAATGATTTCGTTAGTGAGTGCGCTGTGCAAGAATCCAGCTTGTGTTTCCGTTGTCATGTCGGTGCTGCTTTGCTAGTAGCTATAAAAACACGCAAATCAGTCAGGCAGACATGACTGAGTAAGTACAAGTATGCTCTGAGGATGGCAGGTGTGGGGGGTTTTTTGTTTGTTTTGGGGGGTTTTTTGTTTGTTTTTTTAAAACTGCTGCACTCTGAAACAAAACTGCATTCAGTATTATGCTTCAATTTAGAGAATGAAGGAACATTCGCTACAAATGCCACAGACACAGGTTTGCACTGGGTGCCTTATGCTGCTTAGCTGCTTTTTTTTGTGTGTGTTAGCATGTTACACATAGGAAAACACTATACATAAAAATAGATTTCCCTCCAGACATATCCTACTGTCATTAGTGAGCAATTGATACTATATTATAACTGATAGGTACTGGCCACCTTCTCAAGCCAACTGAAAATTAAATTTCATTTGAAATAACATCATGGCTTTATAATGTCTTTGGACATAACTGAAAAAGTTAATGGAAAATGTATTAAACAAAGCACACAACTAACACTGATCTCAGCTCATACAAAAACTTATTTCTCAAATTAACACGGCACACATGCTACTTAAAATGGAAAGCCTGCAGTGTTGTAAATAAAGATAAGATCATAAAAACAGTGTAATTAAACTTGGGTATCTACTGTGGATTACCACTAAACTTTTACAGCTATTTTATTTGCTCTTTCTCTCCCTCAGCCTATTCCCAAGTTTTAAATGGTTTGAGTAGATAAATTGTAAATGTAAGCTACTGTACAGAATTTAAACAGGCATCATGGATTCTCCTCCATCCCTGGACATTTCAAAACTGCAGTATTTCAGATTAGTCCCTTAAGTTTTACTACAAGAGATTCAGTGTTCTAATTCAGATACAGCCACTAAAGCATGAAATGCAATTCTGTGGCTGTGATGCACAAGACTTAAGGGAGATGATCACAAAACACACCAACTGGTGTTAAAATCTGTTAATCTATCTACCTCTCTGCCCATGTTATTTTAGCAGAACAGAGATAAGGTTTTACTATCTGAAGCCAAATTTGGGAATCAATTGTCCAGTGTTCTGCAATTCAGCTTCCATGTCTTCTCTGTTGCAGTCTCCAACTCGGAGCTCTTTGTACCATTTTTCTCTTTTTGCCCAATTTTCTCTAATTTGCAACACACACTCTTGTAAAAGAATAAAAAAGGAAACAATCAATGAAATCAAGTCTCTCACATGTTCTCTTTCTTGCCCTAGGACCTCAAAACTCTACCAAAATTATACGCTGTACTGTATACGCACTTTTTTTTTTGTTTTGAGGAAAGGATGGGAGGATAACAATGAAGACCGATGTTAATGATTTTGTTTGAGAGAGTATTAGAAGGCATTAAAGCACAACAGGGATAAGAATAGTACAGGACCCCTAACAGAACAGAAGCGGCACATACTTTTGGGCAAGATATCTAGACATCTCATTTTAAATGCTGGGGTAAAAAGGAAAATTCTAATCCAGCTGTTGTCACATTGCAATAACTTATTCTGTGTATGGGCTTTTTTTGATTGAATCTTTCGTTAGTATTGCCAGGAAGCCTACCAACTTAATTTTTGTGTCTTTTCAGAGCTGTCATTTTGCTCTATTACTAGAGGATTCCCAGGACTTTCCTCTTTAAAAAATAACCAGAAAGGAGGACAATATGGTGAAATTTGCAAAAAATCAGAAGTGGCAAAATGGATTGATAACAACTAACCAGTTTAATCCTGTGTTGTGTTCAACTACTGGTTTTTGGATGTGGAGTATGTTGTGTTGCCAAAGTTAGAGAAAGGCACATAGCTTCTACAACTCTTATTTAGAACCCATGTCTACCTGGTTAAGTGCATCAAACCAAGAGTCCTTTTAAGACTGGATGCTAGCACCATTAGTCATCTGCAACTTGTGAAGTCCCTCTGGAATTTCTTTCACAATATTGTTTTCTTGTACGTATTTAGAGCTGCTTTCCTGAAATGCCACTGTGTAAAGCTACTTCAGCTTAGGGAATAGTCTGATTTAAACAAAACTGAGCCTAAATATGAAACATGGTGTTCCAGAATTTTTTACCCATAGCCACTGATGGAAGCATGAATCACTCTTTCTCACAGACTTAAAAAATCGACACTTTAGTATAATACAAAGTTGCGACTTCATGAAAGACCAATATTTACTTGTCTCTCTTCTCTCTGACAAGAGTGATTTTTTTTCCATTTTGGTGTCACAGGGGAACAGAGAATGTTCCTAAACAAAGCTATAATTTTGGAAGTGCTGCAAAAGTTACAATGAGGTAATAAAAAATCATTGAAATGTATATTTGAATGGTACTGACACTGTTGAAGTTTCATGCAAATCTAGGAATTTGATTTTCTAAACTTTTTGTGATAAACACTTGTCTTTCTTTGACTTGCTGCTTAGAAAGGTTGTTTTGGAACATTCTGAACACAAACCAGTCCTCAGGTTTTCTTTCTTTGTCCTCTCTTCTGCCGCTAATGACAACTCCACTCCCACTGAATACAGGAGTGTCTCTGCCAACTGAGTCAACCTCTTTTCATTGCTTCCAGGTTGGTCTACAGCTTTCTTAAGTGTTTCCTAGCAAATACAAAAAGATTCTCAATGAGTTCTGTACTCATCTTTTAGTTTTCAAAAACAGTTACTCAGATCTTTGGGAACACATAATGTTTCAGGTAACAGAAACCAAGTAGCACATAAAAAAACCTCTTCAGGTATTGGAGTGAGGTAAACGATTCAGACAAATTCATAGTCATAAACCAGCCCTCTCTGCCACTCCAAAATGCCCC